ACGACGATAACACAAAAGAGCTCGGTCAAAAGAAAAAAAAAACAATCTCCATTAAGATCAGGCATTTTACAATTACAAAAAATAACAATACAGAATAAGCTCGGCGAATTCAGGCGTCGGTATCCTGACTGCCTTGGCCTTCCTCGACATCATCACCCTCGATATCGACGTCTTCATCCCCAGCGTTCTCTTCAGACTCTGAAAGATGAAGGTCATCAGCCACCTCGGGGATTGACTTCAGATCCTCAGGGCAAGCATCTGGCCTCAGGCGCATGAAAGCTCGAGCTTCCTTCAGGGCATGAAAGTAAGAGCCCATAGCATAGTCGCCCTTTAACTCGTTGAAGGCGTCAGACTTCTTGAAGTCCTCGATCGCTTCCTCCCGAGCACTGGCCAGCTTCTCATCAAAATCTTTTTTAAGCTGATCGAGCTCGAGCTTAAAGTGCTCAGCCTCAGCCTTCGCAGTACCGGCCTCACCCTGAGCACTGCGTAGATCATTTCGCATATGCTCGCGCTCCCTCAATAGCTGAGCAAGCTCCTCCTCGAGGTCGGCAATCCTTAGATCCCGAGCAGAAACGGCCCCCTCGAGGTCGGCCATTTTTGAAGACTCGTCCTTTTCCTTCAAGAAAAGGCCCCGAGCTATTCCCAGTGTCTGCAAAATGGTGCATGGTTAACCTCGGGACGTCAAGATAACAAAAATAATGTAAAAACAACCGACGAGCTTACCTTCAAGGCCATAGCCTCAAGAGCCCTCAAGCCATTGCTTAAGTCGACATCTGCCCGGTATTTGTCGACGATGCTGAGCACTGAGTGGCACCGAGAGCATCCCTCGGGATTAGCAGGCCCCGGTGGCAGGCTCCCATCCTCGAGGTTTACCACGTCAACAGGTCCCCGAGGAACAGACTCCCGAGGAGTCCCCTGATGATCCTGCTGCTGAGATCCCGTCCTCACTATTCCCGGAGACGGTCCTCGGGGCCTTGAAGATTCCCCAGGCCCACTGGTCTGCCTTTCCTGCCTCGAATCCCGAGGTCTCTTTTGGCCCCTCCTCTGGCCGGGAGCCCGAGCCTGGGGAGCCTTGGACTTTTTGTTCACTGCCTGACGAAGGGCACTTGGATCAAACGTCATTTCTGCAAAAATAAAAAATTACATGTAATTAGCACGAGCATAGCAAGAATACAGATCAGGATTTTAAGCGTCAAGTTCACATATCCTATCCTCGATTCCTTTCATGTTTGCAAGCTCGAGGATATCATCCAAGTCATAAACTAGGGGCTCGAGCTCCTCTAGCATTTGCCTATGCCTCTCCAACGATTCAAAGTATGCTTGACCCCCACAAAACCTAGCAGTATCAGGAACCCCCCACCGAGGACTAAAGGGAACGTCGGGATCTTGAGGTATAGCGTAGAACCACTTATCCTTCCACCCCTTCAGGGAACTAGGCATTCTCGGGATTCTAAACCCTCCTCGAGTTGAGAGGTAAGCAAAACAAGAATACTGGGGGAGTTGTTTTAGGTCGAAGACCATCCTACATAAGTCAACATATGGGATAATCCTGAGGTATCTACAAGCTATAAAGAAGTATGTCAACATCCTCCACCCGTTCGGCACTAACTGCCCCGGGCTCATGTTATGCTCGGTCAAGAGCGCGAGGAAAAAGGGGTGCAATGGCCACCTAAATCCCCCCTTTAGAGAATCCTTGAAAATGACGAACTCTCCCTCCTGGGCAATAGCTACCCTATCCTCATTACCCGGAGACCTAATATCACAGTTCGGCATCAGGCCGAATTCCCTAGCAGTCGCCACGGCTAAGTGCTCCTTAAACCTACAAGGGTGGTCGGGGTACACTAGTGGGGTCGGGATATCCTGGGCTTCAATTTCGTCGGTATGAGTATCAAAATGCTCGGGACATATGTGCTCGGGTATCATGTATGCCCGGGCTAATAGCCCGAAGATTTATTACACAATCATTCGACATGTCCTCGGGACTATGTCCTCGGGATTATGACCTACGACAGCGCCTTGTCCGACGAGAGATTTATTCTGACTAAATATCCTTAATTTATGTCTCCTATGCCCAGAAGAACTCTATTGGTATCACAATTATACCACAATTCAAACTCCTATCTCGCGTAGGACTCATTGATATAAAATTGCAAAATCAAGCTATCCTACTACAGGTGCAATGCGGAATCCTGTTATGAACACACTACCTACCCCTATAAATACAGGATCTTAAACCATTATTCAGGTACGTTTTACATTGTTCTTCAGCACATAGCCTCACGCATATATTTCCCTTTCTGACTTAAGCATCGGAGGGGCGACGAGAACACACATCGTTGCCTTTGTTTCAGGTATCGGAAGATCACGTTCGTGCTCCTCACCAGTCATCAAGCTCGAAAAATCAGCAGGTACGATTTTTGGTAGCATCAGGACCAAACTTTTATTTTTTTTAAAAAGCAAACTATTTTTAAACTTAGCCAAATATGCTCTGACCTCAAAAAGTGCAACTTAAAATAGGATAATGCTAGATGTACATCTATTTTTTTATCGAATTCTTTACCTACACACACAACAGGAGGACGGGTCCCACATGCCCTAATTTTTAAATGCATGCGGGCCCGAGTGCATGTGAGAGTAGGTAACTAATTCGGTAAACCAAATTCGGTACATATATATTTATCCTTTAAAATATCCACCCATGTCAATGTGTTGCCCCTGTTTGATCCCATTTTTGGGAAAAAAAGTATTATGGGATAGTGATTTATTGGAGAATGTGTGATTAAAAAGTAAGAATTTTTTTTTGAAATACGTGTATTATTATTTTATAGAAGAATGTGTGGTTGAAAATGAAAAGTAAAAAAATGCATTCAATAAAAATGGGGATAGTTTTAAAAATTTAATTTTGTTCAAAAGTTCGAAATTAAGGCCATCAAGAGAAAAATTTGAATTAAAGTTTTGAACCATTAATTAGTCGTCTTTCTCGTCCTCTCTCGAAGTCTCGCACACATTATCACAAATAATATTTTGTTACACTCACAAAGACGATGAAGGCTTAAACCGAGCTTTAGACCAAAGTTCATTTCAAACTTATCTTTTTGAAAATTAATTGAAGTTCAAGGCTCAAGCATTAAGACGGAACAAATTCACATTGGTTGACAACATTAAGGGCTTGTTTGGGAGCGATTTTTTCACCCAAAAATTAATTTTTTAACCATTATTTCACTATTCCAGTCGTCATATTTCACTTCTTCTCTTACAGGTGGATCCCACTTTTCTCCTAACGGTCAAAAAATCAATTCTCAAAATCACTCCCAAATAGGCTCTAAGATTAAAAGTTACAAAGGATCAAAAACATTTTTGGAACATGTCGTGACATTTGAGGCTTGATCTATCTAATAGTAGTTGAAGAGCCTTGATTTAATTTTGCTCAACTTATTCCATATTAGAACCCCCCAACTTTATCAAATTCATTATTTAAAAACTCATTTTTCTCAAACTCATATTTAATCACCCATTCTTTCAAGAAAATAATTTGCACGTAAATCCAAAATCATCTCATACTTTTTAACCACATATTGTCTAAAAAAATCACTATTACAAAAGAATAATGCTATATAGTATCATTGGTGTTATAACACTAGTCTTGTTAACGTTATGTAATAGACTCGGTGAAAGGTAAAATTAAGTGACTCATTTTATTGTACTTTTCATTTAATGACACATTAACGTCACTTAAATTGGTGTTATGATATTAGTTAAATAACATTATTGACCACATAAATTTATTTTCTTTCTTTTTTTTTTTTTTTTTTTTTTAAAAGGGGGGAAAATTGTTTGAAAAAAAAAAAAAAAAAAGTGGGGTCATATGATCGTAACAAAGAATAACAATCTGATTCTTAAATATTTTCTATTTTTTGTTCACTTCAATCAATGAATGGCGTGGCGAACAAAAGAGTTTCTCTCTCGTGGGTAAGTGATAAAATGAAAGCGTAGAGAGAAGTGTGGAGAAGAAAGGCAATTGATGGGCTTTAATGCACGCCATTATAATGTTAAACCCTTAAACTGTCAAAATTTTATTCAGTGTGGCCTCATCCTTCACAAACTCGTATTAATTCCTGCTGCCCTCGAGACATAATTCAGTGGTGCAAAGGACAGGAGTGAGGTGACGTCGGGTGGGAGAGTGATTATCCTATTGATTTTGTTGTAGCAGATGATTCGCAAGAAAAGAACGACAGAAAACGTCCAAAAAATCAGAGAAAATACTCTAAATTCAATTCAATATTATTAATAATGCAAAATGATCAAAACTAACCCACAAGCCGGGTTAAATAGCTGCGAAATACGAAATTATGGGAAAATTATCAAAAATGGCAAAATTTCAAAATTATACCAAAATAAAATATTAAGTAAAAGAAGTAAGTTGCCAAAAATTTGGCTCAATTCGAGTTTTCTAACATATGAAAAAAAGAAAACGAAATATTACCATAAATAGTAAAAAATAACTTAAAATTGAATTTTGGAAAGGAAAACAGTGGATATTGGGCTTGAAATTGACGTCCACCGAGCATAGCTGGGTGGTCACGACGTGCGCGCCGAAGAGAGCTTTCCGGATTGGGGTTATAATAGTGATTCCGATAACCGTAGCCAAAGTTAATGGTGATTCACTTTTCATCTTTACGCCGATCCGCCATCTCATGGTATCTCAGCGCCATCATCATGCTATCTGACAAATCAGCATCACTCGACTCGAATCCTCCTGTATCATGAGATTAGCTCACGTCTTGCTGGCAGCCGCAATGTGGGGATTCGATTCCTGAGACATAAAATTAGACTCATTGTAGGCGCAGTGTACATACAACTCTTGTTCCCTACCTGTCGGGGCACATCCTGCGATTTACCTATCTCACAAAGTTCTAGGGGTGGGACGGTGAAGACCTTCAAGGTTAGGTTGAACCTATTTTTTGTGTTAATTCCTGCTTCCCCTTGTCCCCACGCTCTTAAAACAAGCTAATTCATGGCAGCCCCAACCCTCTCTCTTTACCCACACAACCTCTTTTTATTACTCTCCAGTTTTACATCTTCGTTTTTTATTTAATTTTCAGCACAAACTATAATTCTTGCTTTTACAAATTCTCATCTTTTGTGCTTTTCCCTTGCACTGGTAACTGGTTGCCATTTTCTTTCCTGGAAGTGTAAGCAATTAAGCGGGCTGCAATGGGAGCCGGGGTGGCTCAAAGTTTCAATATTTATCTTCTTATCGTGTTTCTGCTTCTCCTTTGTGAGTATTTTTAGTTTTCTGTTGAGTACTTTAAAAAATGCATGTTTTTCAAGAAACCTGCTAAGTATTAATTGTTTTTTGTTCAGTGTCGGGTTTGGAAATTAGGCTTCTAAAATGTTTGTAAGATTGTGGTCAAAATTAAATATAAACAGCATTAGCTTTGATTTTGATATTCATTTGGGTGCATTGGCAATTGCAATTTGTGTTGTTCTGAGATTATGTGTGGGTTGATTTTTTAAAGAAAGGTAACAATTAGGTTTCGAGTCGGGAACATGGAGAATTTAACAATTTTTATATATTCGGTGGCCATCGCAAATGGTCCATAAGAATTAATAAAATTCTTTTCTTGTTACGTCTGGGTAGCATTTATGACAATTTAATATAGCTCCGTAAATCCGAAATTGCTAAGAACATGTTTGTCTAAGCCTAAAAAATAAGCAAACTTAATTTTTTCAAGAAGTAAGTGAGTCTATACTTAAAATAGCGAACTTTCGAACTGAAATGTCAAAAAAGAATCAACCTGTAAATAAACATGTTTGCGAGAGAAAGTTACTTGAAACCAATGGTAAGTTTCAGTACACAATATTGTTGCATGCATGAAAGCAGTGTGTGCAAATGAGATGAATATGATTTACATTCCTGCAAGAGTTCATCTGTAAAATGTAAGAATCCCTCTCTTGGTGTTTATGGATATGGTCTATTCTGCCATTGACTCTCCTGATTACATGTATTTTTACAGGCTTGCGCGAATCCTGTTGCACACCATCAAATTATCTGAGAGGTTTTGTCGTAATGGATAAAAAGGCAGTTGCACTTTTGCCCAAGACGTCCCCGATCCTGTTCTTCAGCCCCTACTTCCTCTTCTTGCACCTTCTCCATTGACACCATTTACAAATTGCACTATCCCAAAATTATCTGGTTTGTGTTTCATGCTATCCATATTTGATGGTTCTTAACAGTTTTATAGAACTGATTCATACATTGTTTTCTTTTGCTCATCTTCCATGCAGGGCTCTGTATGCTGAACTTTACAGCCATCGTAAGCATGAAAGTATGACATCCCCTGATTGTATGGCTGGATTTGCACCGTATCTAGCTAATGAGTGTGCTGTTCATTGACTGTCGGATCTTGAGAAAATTCTGGTGAGTCGGGGCCAATGACAGTCTACCGAATGTATGCTGTATTCAGCCATCAAATCTTACTGAAGGTTCTTGCCCAATTAATGATGTCAGTGTTGTTGCTGGAGTTTGAAGTTACTCATTCGAAAATAATCTGATAGTATCACCTGAATGTAAGAATTGATCAACAGGATCCAAAATTGTAATTCGAGCCCACCGACTTCACGATATTTCCTTAAAACGAATTTGCTACCTTCAATGGTGCTAAAGTCGTCCAGCAATCGTTTCCCAGGATAGAACGAATTTTCGTCTCCTACAGAAGCAGCACTGCAATCTGCAGGAGTTTCAACGAACTCAACGAAGTGTGTTTTACTTCGAGATAATATCAGAACGAGAGAGAGGGAAATGAGATTCAAAACACAGAAAGCTTGCAATGAAAATGGTGTAAATTTTCTGGTAGAGAGGCTGGCTATTTATAGACTTGTTAAGCCTCAAAAATCCGAACAGACATATTTACAATTTGGCCGAAAATTTTGTCCAAAAAATTAATATAGTGTAAAGGTCCACCCGCACTCGAACTGAACCGGACTCCGACTCGAACACGTGCTCGTGCCGTGCCGAACCGAGCCGGCCGGCGGCGCCTGCGTGTGGTACCCCTTGGGGCCCAAACCCAATTTCAAACTTCCGCCTTATAAACTACACCAAAGTTTCCTAACTTTCCTATGTGGGATAAGTGTTTAGAAAATCAAATTCTTCCATAATACTTAGTTTATGTGGGTTACTTTAACACTTAATATTTCATTCAATTTTAAATGGTTTTCGATAAATAAATATATTACGTTAATCATCTCGCGGAGTAGAACGTGAATATACTAGGTTCCGTATTATTTAAAAGGTGGGTCCCACTGAAATTTGGGCTCAAAGTTGACCCATTTCATAACCATTTTTCCAACAGTCAGTGAGTTTGAGAGCACAGTAGATTCATCCAACCTTCTTGCTGCCTGTGGAAAAATATCTGTTGTCAATGAATGTTGTGAGCAGGTTTGTCAGAATGCCATATTTGAAGCTGCTAGAAAGCTTGCTCTAAAAGCTTATTATCTTCGGAGCCTGGATGGTACTCATATGCGTTATCTGACCATTCAACTAGGGTCAGTGATTGTAGAAGTATCGTTCTCCGGTGGCTAGCATGTAAACTTGATCCTTCTCATGCTAAAGAAATTCTTCGAGGACTATCTAATTGCAAAACTAATAAAGGTGAGATTTGGCCTCCATTTGGCAAAATCATAAATGAATTGTAGAACTTAATTTTCCACTTCACATTCCAATGGATCATGAGTACTATCCACCACTTATTTCTATCTATTTATAAATTCTACCCAACAGAGGCTTAACTGCAGAAGGCCTAAGCTGTTTTAACTTGTTTAACTAAACGTGTTGCTTCCCATTTCTCCACCATTAACTTTTTGCCTTCAGTGGGTGTGCAGACACACATTTTTGGTAAGGATGCCTGTTTAGAAGAGCCTTGGACACAAAAATATGCAGGGCATGCGACAAAAGTGGACACTTGTAAATCTGTGAAACCTAAGTCTGTCGATTACATGATTTTGATGTTCTTATAGTGCTAATTCTCACTTCTTTACTAATTGGAGTAGGTAGCATAAGACCTTTTATATAGGTTTGATAGCTTACATTTGGTCAAGGTGAAAAAATGACTCTTAGCATTAATTTTGGTCTTATAGCTTGCACAATCATGGTATTTAATTTTGTTTCTACGTGATTGGAAAAAAAATTGTTCTCCTTGTGATTTGGTTTTCCTTTTGTTAGAAAGCATAATGTCATTTTTAAGTTAGGAAATAGCATTGTTTAGACTAAATAGTGTCTCTAAGATCAGTCTCTCCCATATGAGCATGGTAAAATGGGCCATGCCAAAATACACAAATTTAAATTATTAGTAACCCACAACTTCTTAAGCAGTCAGATCTTTTGGATCCAGATATCTCACAATGTCTGTCTGTACTGCATTCACGAAACCAGTGATTTATTGAAGTTCTGTGATGAACATATTTTGTTTTATTCTGTGATTTTATTTTACCAACTTCCTTCTAGTGGTTCTTCTATTGATCTTCTTCTACCATCTCTTCCCCTAAGTTCTTCCTGTTAATTGGTTTTCTCATTCTCCATTGAATATTTCTATTGGTGCTACATCACATTGTCTGTAGCAGGTTCATTTATTTAAATTTCATCTTCGATATGAGCTCTTAGAACCTATTTGAGACATAAGTTGTTTACCTGTTT